TTAATCATCAACTTCCATGTCATTGAGTTTACAAAATTTAGTTTACAATTTAGTCTCCCTAACATTACCCATCTAAGAATAAAGGAAAAATTAGTATTCAATCCTTAGTTTCTAATGTTCATTGATTAAGACCTTATTAGTTTTTAGATTTTGATCAAATTCCCTATCATTAATATATTAATGAATTACATGTAAGTTACATAATTTTTATAATAAAAATTAGTAATTGATTTAGAATTTTAATACACACACCCTTATTAAACTCCTAATTAATTTTCAATTCAAACGTTTTCAAATATAAAAAATAAAATTAGAATAAGTTTGTACCCATTAAATTTTTATAAAAGAAATTGATATGTACCCATTCTTAATATACCAATTTGTTATATGAAAAATGTACCTTTTTTTAATATAAAATGTACCCATTTTTTATATAAAATTCATTCAATCTTTTCTCTAATCCATTTTTAACTTATATGGGTACATTTTATTTCGTTGATTGAGAATGTATCTATGTTAAGTTTAATAGAAGAAATTTAATAATGTTATTAAGCCTAAAATCTTTTTTTTTTTTTGAAAAATGTACCCATGTTTTGGTATAATAATTTTTTGGTTAGTTTTTTATGAACGTACCCATGTACACACACACACACACAATATATTTGAGATTATAATTTATCTTTAATATGTTTTTAGTCCCATAAATTATGGGTTTTATTTTAAATCTCATTAATATAAATAACTACAAATTTTATTTTTAAGTTAAAAATATAATAACCTACATAAAAATACATTATTACATTAATATCATGGACTTCAATCAAAAACTAAAAATCACAAAGGTTTCAATCAAAGAACATTGGTAGTTAGGGACCGCATCTAAAGTGTCCCAAGAATAAATTACCAGTCTCTGGTCATGTAACTCAGGATTTTTGTCATTTATGTCCTATGGCCAAAAGTCGCAAGTTTCCATTTTCTTTATTAATTCAATGTCATCTTTTCCATTGGAATTAAATCCATTCAGACATGCTCTATGGGACATGACTTTTGCCCTATGGAGACATGGTAACTTGATAAAGGAAATGGTAATTTGTTATTTTGCCCATAGGACACGAATGACAAAAATCCTGAATTACATGACCAGAGAGGCAGAGATTGATAATTTATTCCTAGATATTAAAAACCTTAAAACAGAAGCATAAAGATGACCTATTTTAAAATGCCAAAAAGCATTTGACACTCTAGCTCCTAAGAAAGCAAAAAACGCCATTATTTTTTGGGAATTTTAACGAAAAGCCTACGGTAATGTTTACTTTAACGAAAAACCATATTTTTACACCAAAAAGTCAAACCTGGTACTATTCATTTTACCCTTTATTTTGTCCTTATCATTAAAACTCAAAGTTTTCAAGCCTTTTTCATTAGTTTTTCTTTATTTTTTAGAAGAAACACTTGAAAATGGTTAGAATCCGTTTTTACTCCAGCCTTGCAAAAGCGTCATCCCCGTTTTGAGATCCTGGACATGATAGGAATTAGGATAAAGGGGTAGGGAACAATGATTGTAATTGGTTAAACGATGAATAGATATCATATTGGTGGATGCAATTCGGCAATAAAGAGTGTTAGATAAGGTAAATGATGTTTGAGGTGTACGAATGCAAGAAGTGCCTACTTCAGCAATTCTCAAACATGTGCTGCCAACAACATCATTGACGTGATCAATTCCGTTGTAGGTTCGCTGATTAGACACTTGAGCAAGATCATTGGTTATATAAGTATCCGCACCAGAATCAAACAACCAATTCTGGAAGGCATGAGCATTTGGCAGGCACGGAATGAGGAGCAGCAGTTGCAAAAGCCTGAAGACTTTGTGCAAGAACACGGCCCTCATACGCCATATTGAGGTGATATAAACAGTCAATGGTAGAGTGTCACTAGCGATTGCATATCTGACATTGAATATGTCTAGAATGGGAAAGCACAGTACCTATTTGAGAATGATCAACGCTAAGAAGTCCATCACTGTTGGAACGAGAGTGAGAGCTACAGCTCGAGCCACAAGGACGAAATGAGGAGCCACGACCACTGTTATATGAGCTAAGACCACCATGAAAACCACCGTAGCCTGGCCCACGACCACGGAAACCACCTATGCCATGACCGCCACGAGCAGGAGCTAAAGCAGTAGGCCCAGTATCAGTAGAGAAGAAAGCATGGATTTTTTATGACGTTCAGCACTAAGCACAAGGGCCTCCAAATGACTGTAAGAGATGGCTTCTTCACAAGCCTGAGCAAAAGCCACAGTGCCATCATAAGCAGGTCCAAAATTGTTGAGAATGATGGCAACAATTTCTTAATCAGAAACTAGAGCACCAGACAAAGATAGGGTGTCAGCAAGGCAATTGCCATGATCGAGAAACTTAGTAATGGGAGAGTCACTAGGGTGAGTGTTCATCAACTTACTGCGAAGTTGAAGAAGACAACTAGTGGACTGTGAAGCATAATGTTCATGCAGACATGTCTATTCAAAATAAAAACTGATTTTTCCTAATTCGGACAACGAGCACAATGGGATGAACAAAGCTATTGATCCAAGACACACCATAGCGTCCTGTTGAATTCATGCTTCAAACTCGGGATTCACATTATCAGTAAGATTGTCCTCACCATCCTTGAAAAAGACTGGAGGACATTTGCTAGTGTCATCAACATGGGAGACGAGATTCCTGTTATGAAGCAAGGGAAGCATCTGGGCTTACCGGGAATGGTAATTTGTGCGATCGAGTTTGATTGTAAGGAAGTTGGAAACATTGGGGTTCCACTATAAAACTAATCGGCAATATGAGGAGTAGTCTAACTGCTTATAAACCCTTGCATGATTTCGTCTTTCACCGATGTATGACTCTTTTACCATTACATCCTCACACTCCCCCTCAAGTGTAGCGAATTTGCAAGCCAAACATGTGGACAACACAAATTGGGTGACGTGGAGCACAAGTGGCAGTTGAGCTTCACATGTGGGGCAACTTGGCTATGATACCATGAAAAAACTTGGGGTTCTATTAAAAACCAATTGGCAATATGGGAAGCAATCGAACTAAAGTTGGGGTTCTACCATAAAACCAATTGGCAATATAGAAAATAGTCAAACCTCTAAATCCTTGCAAAATTTCTCCTTTCACCGATATGAGACTCGTTTACCGTCAACATGATCAAGAGCATGCATACTCACACAACAACAATATCATTTTTTTTTTCTTCTGGCAAATGCTGCAATGGAATTGAACATTGCAGACAGTCGACAAATAGAGAATCACGTCGGGAGTTCCCAAAAAGTTTGCTATTCTTGCCTCGCAAGCAAGGCGGGCATCTGAATCTGATGCAAAATAAAATGAAATGAGATGAAATAAACAGATGTATAAAAAGAAAAACCAAATTCATCTCAAGTAGTGAGGAATACCAATTGTTCATAAAATCCACGAGGACTGCCAGAATCCTGAGATCAGACAGAGGTACAAATGCTCTGCTAAAAAATATACATAAAAGAAAATAAAACGTCGTCTTACAAGCAGGTTCTCATGTCCTTTCAATGGCAGATAATTTGCTGCAACGAAGTTCACGACTTCTTTGCCATTGATTATTGTATGTGGCCCTGCAGGACTGAATAAATTCTACTCTTTAGTGGGATCCCTTAGAACAACCAAGGCGGGGGTAATTAAATTGCTTAATACTCTTTAGTTTTGAAAACCTTAATATTCTCACTAACCTTTCCAACGCTCTGGGATCATACAACTTCTCTTGAGAGATAGGAGGAATAAGAGGTTCACATACACCAGCAAAGGTCGGTTATGAAACCAGGAAATCACAAGCATATCATACTAAATCATTTGGGATGGAAGTTAAATTGTGACAAGTACAAAAACATGTATGTATATAAATGGGCAGTGAAAAGATGGAGAGAGAGTAGAGCCTGATGATTGAGAGCGGGTGCGACGGCGGAGATGGTGACAGTTTGGGGGCGACGGAGCAACGGAAGAGGATTCACATGTGGTTGTTTCTTCCTCTCCCTTCGCTTCTTTTCGTGTTTTGTTTTCTTCGATGGCATTTCTGATAACAAAAATAATTTCAAAAGATCAGGACTTTACGGAAACATGCAATTCTAGTCTGTATCAAACTCCTAGTACTATGTTTTGTATAATTCAAATTCTTATGTTTCCTGTTTTTAAGTAAGTACGTAACTCAACAAGAAATTTCCTTACCTATCCAATTTCTAATGAACCCTAACTCTGACTTGAATTTAGGATATAACTAAGCAAGTCCAAGGATATCCGGATTATGATAACATTCCATTCGTATTTGGATAAATGCTACCTTATCACAACACCTTAGCGAACAAATTTAATATGAATACAACACTAAAAGAGCATGTTCATGTTGTAACATGTGGATTTACTTGTCGATACTACATTTAGGTTTTGATATCAACTGTGTCGTCCACTCATATTACATGTGACGATACATCAATAGTTAATAAAACAAAACAAACACACTCGCTACATTGTAACGGACAAATAATACCATGGGATGATGTTCCGAGTGGACAGATTAATTCCTCCAATAATGCGCAGTTAGTGTTGGGGTAAAGTCAATTTTGAATGACAGGCGTGTTAGGATCCGAAATTCATAGTTTGCATAAAATTAAGCAACAGATCACATTTCATCTAGTCATTTCCAACAAATCAAATATACACACCCTCATGTTATCGACTAAACTTCATGCTAATCTCGTTCACAAGTCAAAACGCGACAAAATGCAAGTATAATTTAATCGTATCAGTATGGCATAAACTATCGACACCCGGATACGCTGCCTTTCTTTGTTAGTCTGCATCACAAAACTGATCAACCATCGAAGGGCTTCGTAAAGATGCTGGACGTGCTCCTGCACCATGATCATGTCCGCATGGATGCGAGAGCGAGAGAATTCTGGGATCCACCAGTTAAATATGATCCTTCAGCACCAATTCTGCAACGCTTTTCAGTGATGCAGCTGCCTTGAGCAGATCGGATTCTGTATGCCCAGCGGAGACGAACAATCTAATTCCTAATGGAAGACGGCATTTATCAAGTGTTGACTTTTGGGAGGTGACCACGAAAATGGAATGCTCCTTTAACAACTGCAAAACCGCAACCCTTACGGTTAAGAAAGAAGAGTAGCAGAAATTGATTCAGAAAAGTGTAATTAAGATAACCATTTACTTACACTGTTAGCAATATTTTGAAGGAGCTGAAGTTGCAGTTCATTCTTCAAAGAGTCTGCTTTCTCTAGTCTGAGGAAGACAATCGGTGATTCTGGACTGCTCGCGAATGAGAGGCCCCGTATACCTGACAATCCTGCACATCACATCATATTTCTCAATCAAGAGCATCACAATGCAAGGCAGGCGGTAAGTGCTCCGTCAAAGTAAAGGAGATACCAAGGAAATTGATCAAGGGATGAGTAAACCACAACACATGGACATATATGCACATGAATAGGAGATCAAGAACATACCCTTCCATAATTCGGCAATGTTTTTCTTCAACTTCGTTATCAGGTCAGGGTTTTCCTCGAGGATATCAATAGCAGTAATGGCAGCACTCGCAAGATATGGGGGCAAAGAAGCAGAAAAGACGTAACCAGAGCTGCTCAATCGCTGCCAAATACCATATCCAAAATTTATCATTTAGATACCTTTTGAATATTTTTGTTTAATATATGCATGTACATACAAGTGTTCGTGAGCAAATAGTTACAAGAATTTATTAATATAGAAAGATACGAAAGTGATTTTCTTGTTACAAATTCGATCTGTCAACACAGACATCATATAATAACTTGTTAGTAGTATGTATTCAGTAACCTACTTGGTGATCAGTGACCCTAGCACTTCCAGTGCAGAATCCTCCTTCTGTGGCTAATGCGTGTCCCATTGCAGCAGTAATAATATCTATTTTTCAACCTGCAAAACCACACCACCAGAAATCACAAACAGGTAATGGATCAATACTCAATAGTTACGAGAGATTGGAAAAAAAGAAGAGTTTCTAAAAATACCGGAATCCTACAGTATTCAGTGAGACCCCTTCCGGATTTTCCAAGCACGCCAAACGAGTTACTCTCATCCAATAAAACACGAAACTTATATTTCTCCTTCAATTCAACAATCTTGTCCAAGGGGGCTATTTGGCCAGAATTCTGCAAATTTTATTAAAAGGAGCAAAAAAAGTCATATAAAATCAACATGCTAATGACAGCGTTGAAGGCAGAACAGACGGTTTGCTTTTCTATTTGCCAGTGATTCATGAATTTCATGTAGAGATAGAAGTTTTCCTCAAAACATAACATGACGCCAAGACTTTATGTAAAACCTTGAAAAAATTCAACCATACCAGGAGGATTGATTTCAAGAACCATCTTCCACCGTTATTAAAGGGGTGAAGGTGTCACAGGCCCTAAGACCACTAGCGGAGGCAAGGTGGGTGCAATGGGATTAATTGACCCCAATAAGTTTGTTGGGCCACTGTTTTTCTTTTGGTGCAAAGAAGAGAAAAAATGGGAAGAGGCATTGCTTTGGTTTTTTGAAAAATAAAGAAAAAGAAAAGCTAATGACTTTGGTTTTATAATGGGAGAGAAGGCAGAGCCTTTTGTTTGGGCAGCATCCAATATATATTAAGGCATTTGTAATGCCTTTTGGTTTTGAGCAGCAGCAGAAGAGAGATGAGAGCCACACCAGGGAGAGCATTCGGCTCTTCCATTTGAAAAAGAGTGCAGTCAGGTCTACCATTTTGAGAGAGAAGCAGACGCAGAGAATGAGAAAAACATGGGGCACTATTTAGAGAAGGCAGCAGCAGATTGCTTCACTTTTTGCTCTCCTTTGAGCAATCACTCATATTAGTGCTAGAGAAATTTGTTATGTATTTTCGTATCTACTTGTTCTTTGTTTGAGTGAGAGCTATGGGTGTATGTGGGATTTGGGATTTGAGTTTGAAATCTATTTTTAAATGAAAGTATGATCGATTTTTGAAAGCTATTTTTTGACCCCATTGCTGTAAATTCCTGGCTCTGCCACTGCCTAAGACCATTAGCTGTGTTAAATTGTGTGTGCTGAAGTATAAGCAACCTATTTTGTGAAAGTGGATGATGCTGGATTGAATCATAAAAGAGCTCACAACATATAAAAAAATAATTAAATAAATTTTGATATTATGGAAGAGAATGGGATACCTGGTATACAGCTTCAACTACAATGTAGCGCCGCAATTTCTTAACTCGCTCACTTTTCTTATTTGAAGTGAGTTCCTTCAGAATTTTCCTTAAATCTTCCATGTCATTGTGCTTGAAATACTTGATTGTGCTCCTAGAAAGATGAAGACCATTTTGTATTCCCCAATGGACACCTTCATCTCTAGACAAAATGAAAAAGAAACCGCCTTACATGAATGTGTGAATAGAAATTTTCATGAAATCTTTTTAGCAGCATAAGGTCCATCGATACTAAGGCACAAGATCAAAATTATAGACTCGTGTAAAAATAGAACGAAAACATACATAGTATTTGAAAAATATGAAAACAAGAGCTAACGTATTGAACTCCATGCATATGAATATGAACAAGGTCATACAAACCGAGTGGGAATAAAATTTCACTAAAATTTATTCCATGTCATGCAAATACATCAAACAAAAGAAATACTGTCACAGCTTTACATCAGCAAAAAGGAACAAAAGTAATGAAATAAAGGCAGAAGTAAAACATAACTTTCATGATTACCACTTAAGTAAATTCAGAAGTCATTTCATTGTCATTTTGAATCATAATCAAAGATAACTGTTAAACGATCCAAGCATTTTCTTAACGTATAAAACATTTGCAACGAAACAAGTTCTACACAGGGAGGAAAAGACTGCAATAATTACGATGATCAAGATTATGCATACTATTACTCACACAACAATAATATCCCCCTTCTTGGCAAATGCTGGAATTGCACTGAACATGGTAGACAGTCCATAAGAATATAGAATTGAGTCCGGAGTTCCCAAGAAGTTTGCTATTCTCGCCTCACAATCAAGGTGGACATCTGATGCAAAACAAAATGAAATGAAATAAATAAAGGTCGTACCCAGTGCACAAGGCTCCCGCTTTACGCAGGGTCTGGGAGAGGTAAATGTCGGCTAGCCTTACCCCCATTGAAATGAAATGAAATAAATAAATCAATTAAATGTATGAAGAAGAAAAATCAACTGTATTTCAAGTAGGTGAAGAATACCAATTGTTCCATAAAACCCACGAGGACCACATGAACCAACACCATATTTTTCCAATGCAGAGGTACATGACTCCTGAGATGACACTGCTATAAATGCTCCATTGAAGAAAATATACATATAGAAAAATGTATTCAGTGATACTATGCAAAGCTCCGTCTTACAAGTAACTTCTCATGTCCTATCAATCCCAGATAATTTGCTGAAGCAAAGTTCACGACTTCTTTACCCTTGATTATTGTATGTGGCCCTGCAGCACTGAATAGATTATACTCATTTAGAACAATGAAGGGACTGGTAAATTTTCACCTTAATACACAAATCATTAAACATCCACTAAAATGATTTTTCCTACACAATATTTGTACGAACACAAAATCTTCCACAATGAGGGAAAAATGACTAAACATAAGAGGGACCATCATTGAACTCCAGGCTAAACATACAGAAGATAGCCAGGACCAGTTTGTAATGCACCACTACTAAAGGAACTCATCTAGCTCTCTCTTCTGGAAAATTAGGGAACTGATCATACGAATCAAAGAATACATTTTGACCAGAAAAACATGGGATCAATTTATGACAAGATTAGAATTAATCTCACAAACCTTTCCAACACCGGGGGTTCATACAGCTTCTCTTCAGTGATAGAAGGAATAAGAGGTTCAGGAGCCCATTCCTCACATAGCTCATCTTTTTCCTACATATATCAGATACACCAGCAAAGTTCAGTTGAGAAATAAGGACACACCTCAGATACGAATCACAACTCAAGCACATCATACTAAATCATTTAGAAGGAAAGTTAAAATGTGACAAGCACGATACACACATAGAGGTATCATTACATTTCCATTCACCAAGTAAACTCGTCAAATCTGTAAATCGCATATTTTTCATATAAATAGGGAGTCCAATCTAGTCATAACAATGCCTTGGAATTTCCCTCACTAGGTAAGGTACTAAGAAACTGTGACAGATCATTTGAAAAAAAAAACGATGGAAAATAAAAATGAGGCATGCATGCAAACTGGATGTTTAGTTGTTAGGCTCCACTTACCATGAAAGAGTAACCAGAGAGAAGTTTACTGTTACATTTACTGTTATATAACATAGAAGATTGTATAACACAGATTTTGGGTTTAAGCCTCAGATGCTCTCCGTAAGGCGTTAACTATACATGGAAAAGGAGTCTAAGACTAGATAAACCTAATCAATAGAGATGGACATCTTATCTCAAAGAGTACTAAATAATAGTATCATCTATCAGAGAGAGTCCTATTAAAGGAGACAAAGGGTTAGGGTTGCAATCTAAACACGAACCTGCTCTGTTAAAGGCCGCCTAGGTGGTCTGTAACTGTTCTGGGAAAATAAATAAACGATGACTAAGAAAAGCAGAACTTCTACAAATAAATGTCCTGCAATAAAAGGGTTAAACAAAACTTTGTTAACACAAACATTAGTTTTCGATAGTAAGCAATAATAGCCATAAAAGGGAGACAAACAATAGAGGCAGCAATAAGGATCCGGTAAGCTACCGCCAATTGGAAATCCGAAAATAACAGCTCGAGAAGAGGGAGCATCTAAAGTCGCCGTCACCCAATCTACCGTAGCATTCACTATGTTCAGAATACTTGATGACATTTTACTCGATATCTCGATTCAATTCACAAATAGGCCTCAAACATCACTTGTCTAGAAACTAAAGCATTTCCATCATTGAGACCAAGTTCCCTGCACGTAAATACCGATTATTCACCAATTACTAATCCAGTAACAAAAATTTACAATGTTATGAACTAAAACCCTTCAAGTTTTCCTTATGAGCTAAAACTAGCATTAGCAGAATTGAAAGTTCGAAACTCCGCAAAAAATAAAATTTAGATATAAATATATTTTCTTTATCATCGTCCACGGAATTGCCAGAAAACACGGTGATCAATGAGATCCAACAGCAAACAAAACCCTAAAGTCGCCTCCTAAAATAAATAAACCAGAAATTCGGGGCCTTTTCGGTTCGCAATTCAAAACAATTCTCAAAACTGTGAGCTGTGTTCTGATTAATATAAATATCATTCGCGTAATCTATACATATATATGTGCGTGTGTGTAAATCAATGGACGGAGACAGTGAGGAGATGAGTGAGACTAGTACCTGACGATGATTGAGAGCGGGTGAGACGGCGGAGGTGGTGACTGTTGGGACGACGGAGCAACAGAAGAGGAGGATCGGATGTGGTTCTTCTTCCTCTTCCTCCGCTTCTCTTTCTCTATCAGATTCAGATGAAAATGCGTGGGACGGCGTTCAACCGAGTTGATTATTCGTTGCCAGATAATATTTTTTGTGTTTTTATTTTTCGTTGTTGGTATTTTTGTAGGGACCGTTTGGCGCGTACAAGGACAGAAAAAGAATAAAATATGTTCAAGGTTGACGATGCCCCACTAATCTCATGATTTAAATTTGTAAATCATTGTATTAGCGGGCATGTAACACTTTAACTACAGGTTGCCATAACTATAGATTTGCGTAGAAATTTATAAATCGCGTACCTACAAGAACTGTTGGTAGAGAGACTTAAATATTAGTGAAGCGACACATAAAGCAGGGATCTTATAAATTGAGTCAATCCTCATTGGTACCTTGTCACATCTCTTAGGTACC